TAATCATTATTGGCAATCCTATCCAGAGTGTCAAATGCCTCTACAGGTGTTTTATTGAGCAATGTCCCATTTGCCGAGGCATCTAGCATCATCTTCGTAGGAACATTTACTCCATTATAGAACATTACCACTTGAGTTCAATCTTGAAAAACATGATTAGAGCATTTTCGAAGCAATCCTTTATACCGATCCCAGTATTCATACATTCATTCATCATCGTCTTGATAAAAAAACAATGTCGTTCCTTAGTTGGGTGTTCATGTTCGGTGGATTATACCGCAGCAAAAAACTTTTGCACATATCAGTCCAAGAATCCATCGAGCCAACTGGAACACCACTCAACCAAGCCCTCGCTTGGTCACGCAGAGAATATGGAAATAACTTTAACTTCAGTACATCCTTGTGAACTCCTTGTTGTCGGAAAGAATCATACACCTCCAAGAAGTTACGGGTGTGTTGCTTGGCATCTTTATGAGGCATGCTCCCAAACTGCCCTATGGAATTCAGCATATTAAACTTGACTAGTTTAAGCTCAAAATAGGCTTCCTGAATCTCGAGTGCCACAATTCTCGGATTTAAGTCGCCCAATATAGGATTTAAGTGATCTCGAATGGCACGAGGGCTGGCTGCATTCCTAGCATTCGAAATTGCCTCAACATTCTGAACTTCCTCTTGACCAATACATTGATTGCCAATTCGATACATGTTTGCAAGTTGAGTTCGTCTTCTTTGCCTAAAAAGCCTCTCAAGTTCAATTGGTTCTAATGGCTCGTCAGAGTGTCTTCTGGTCATACACCAAGAAAAACCTGAAAAAGACAAGGAAAATAACAAGTAAAACTATAAAAAAATGAAGAAGTAAAATAAAAATGCTATGACAAAACTAATTAACTTCCAGTTACTAATCCCCAGCAATGGTGCCAAAAACTTGTCTATTTTTGTGAGTACTAAATATGGACACGAAAAATGTGCAAGTATACACAATCAAACAAGTAATACAATGATGGGTGAGTATCGTATCCATAGAAATTGGAGGAAATTTATAAGTTCAATCAAAGAAAATAACAACTTTATCTAAGAAATGTTAGTGCAATGGTATGTACCAATGAGAATGTTGAGGCAATGTGAAATGTATGTTAGTGGAGACGGAATGATAGTGTGATGTGGTAGCAAATAGTAATGTCGTGGCAAAATGGATGAAAACTTCTTGGAAAAATAAATTGAGTTAGTGAAATCAAACGAAAATGTAAAGGCAAAACAAAATCTAAACACTGGATTTGAATAAAATGACTTGATAATCCTCACAACAAGCTACTATAGGAATAAATTATAAGAGTCACTTAGGAAACTTAAGTCCATCTTCTCAGGATGGTCTTACTTCTATGTCTTACTTGCCCGATAGAGTTTACTAAAGGTGCCCTACGCTATCTCTAGTCAAGGGACTTGACAGGTTGAGAATGCCTGGGCAATACCTCTCGGCGTTAGTAGGTGTATGTATCCCATTGGCTCAGATCAACAAAATATGTCACGGCAATACCACTTGGCATCAACAATAGCATCTAACCTCTCGATTGAGCATTACTCCTTTTAGTAGATTGGAATCCTAGCCTTATGTATAAAGGTGGATTAGGTCTAGTTACTATCTAAAACACATTGCTTATGTTGATCCTTCCTTAGTTTCTCTCGAACACTAAAGATGAGCTACTTAGTTTCTCTCAAAAACTAATTATTTTCCTAAGGAATGGCTACTCTCATAGCTCCTACAACCTTAAGACATTAAGCACCATAAGAAAAACCAATAAGAACATAAAGATAAAAAACATCCATTAAAGATAAAGCTTAAACATCTATAGTGAACTCCCACCAAATAAAGCTAGTTCATAGTAGGGTTTGAATATTCCAAGCAACAAAGCATGAATATCATTCATTCCATACAACCCAAATATGATAAGTAATAAAAATAACAAATGGATGGAGGAAAAGCCTTTGATGTGCACTGTCAAAGCTCCCCTCGGCCACCACGAACCGCCTTAGCTTGCTAGCTCCTATTGGATGTCTAGCTCGCCACTCCCTCTAGCTTGTTAATTGAGGAATGCCACGGCAAAAGTGAATGACGAAAAAAAGGAGGAACATTTTTCTTTCGACTGCCTCTTCACTCTTTTCTCAAGAATGTTTAGCTCAAAATGGTGTAAAATCCAGTCTTTTCAATCCGTTGGCTTCATCTCCTATTTATAGTGGGGAATAAACCTAGGGATTTGTGTTAAAATTCCCATGATAACCCAAAGTTTGTTCCATTCACATGAGGGGTGGTATAGAGGTGGTAGTAGTCCCCTCTTAAGTGGATGGCAGTTGGGCGTATGTGCAAACAAGATTAGTCGACCAAGGTAGTATATGTTCCCTCCTAGGTGTCTGGTAGCTGAAGGCACGTGAAGATAAGGACAACTGGCTGGAAAAATATCTTCTTTTGTCTTTTTCGCTTCATCATCCAAGTTTTCATTTGCATTCTTATCAGCATTCCCAATTTGTCATGGCAATTCTCGTCACTCATCCTTGCTCCCAAATCATGTACATCATCAGACAAAGAACCTTCCCCATAACGCAGCACCGTTTTCAAAATTAAATGCCACGACAAAATACATTTCCACCACATGCAACTATATGCTCCTAAATGCATCTATATGATCCTATATGAGCTCTTAGACAGTCAATAAATTAAGTGAAAAGGCCCTAAATATGGCCTTTTTACGGAGTTATCATAGCCCCTGTGTCCATGATCCAAGTAAGAGTTTCATAAAAACAAGATACACATCCAGAAATAGTACCTGCAAAACTGGCAATTAAATCAACTGCTGGAGCCTTAAGAAGGTTCAATAGTTAAGCATACTGCTCTCGTGTCAAACCAGAAAGATCAGATGTGGAATTGAGCTACTCAGAAGGGACACGCTCCTCAAGAGCCATGGAATAGACAGTCATGTCTTGAGATCCCTTTGGCTTAGTAAATTTGAAGTCTGCTGGAAAGTCTATCAACCGATAACAATTTTCCTTCTTATGCCCTCTTTTCTTCTAATGATCACACGTACCAGTGAATTTTTGTTGTTCACACGTGTTTGAATACATTGTTGTAGACTCCACAAGAGGCAATAGAGTAGAAAAAGTAGACAAAAGAAATTGTTGTGACTCCTCCTGGACTATCATCGAGTAGGCCTAGTTCACATTCGGGAGTGGCTTCATGAGTAAGATCTGACTCTAGATAGCTGAATACGACTCATGAAGCCCCATCAGAAACTGGAAAAACCTCTGTTGAGCAATATGTATGGCCATCTGTTGCGAACTGTTACACGCACAAAAGGAAAACTGAACTAAAACAATGTACTAGTCCCACAACAATTTGAGCTTAGTGTAATAGGTAGAAATCGTGAGCTCCCCCTATGTTAAAGTTGCAATCTCTTTATGCAAGAAAAAAACCCTCGAAACTATCAACCGTATCAAATCGTTCTTTGAGATCATGCCAAACAAGTATTGCACTCGGCGCAAATAATATTCCAGCAGAAATGTCTCTACTAACCGTGTTTAAAATCTACGAAAGGACAATAGCATTGCACCGCTCCCACTACGGATGCAACGATTCTTCAAAAGCTTCCTTAAGGCAATCCCCATCAACAAATTCGAGTTTTTTCTTCGCGAGAAGAGCAATTCACATAGAACGATTCCAAATATTATAATTCTTTAGCCCCACCAAATGATGAGAAACGAGTAAAGACCCTGGCGTATCCGAATGATGAAGGAATAAAGGATGATTGAAATCAATTTCAGTGAATGAAGGCATTTCCAATTAATCGGGATAAACCCTAATTCCCAAAGAAAATGAAATTAGTGAGAAAAGAAAGCTAACTGTTGAAGCAAGGCACTTCGAGAGAAAACAAAATTTAGGCTCAAACAATAATTGGCCCAAGCAGGAAAAAAAACGAAAGTTAGGACTGGGTGGCGTCTGATACCATGTTGTGTATAGAAAGCAAAAGACTTAAACAAATTTCCTCAAAATTTTCATATATCATAATCTTAATTTACCAGGCAGTATACTTTATAAACAAGGTATATAACTAATAGTTCAGCTAATATAACTGTATAATAGAAATTAAACTAACTAACTACTTCTTTAATTCCAACAAATTCTTTGTATTACCAACAACTAATATTCAACCGCCATTGTTATCCTCTTCTTCTTTGTCACCACCACCTTTGTCGTCTTCAACATCTTCCTCTGCTTTTTGCTGATCAGCACCAAATGAGCATTTTCAAGAAACCATGTAATCAAACTCAGGCTAGTGGATCAGAGTTTCCGCCACCACCATCGTGGTCTCATCCTAGTCACAAGCCTTCATTCGCCGGTTAAAATAGAAAAGGGTTAATTGCATCTCAAACTTGATCCAAAATTTAAAATAATTTTCGAACTTTAAACCATCCAAAATTATGTTTAACCTTTCTTCAATAATATTTACCGAAATGTTACCAAAAAATATTACTAAAAAATCACCCTAAAAATTAATATTTACAAAGTGTTATCTTTTCTTCAATATTTACTGAAATATTATTCCTTCGTACAACATGCAAATAAGACGCATTTTATAAAACGCATTTTGCTCACGTGACATCTCACTCAACAAAGGCAGGAAGCACTCAACAAAGGCGTTCTACAAGCACCTTATGTTGATCTAGTAATTATCTACTATTGAAATTGAGGAAACGGTTTTAATTGAACACGTAAACTATTTTGATTAATACATAATATATATCCATCAATAATTGGTTTAAGTTTAGAAGAAAAAAATTCAATATATATACTTTTGATTTATAAAAATAAGCCCCTACATTTGATTTGTATTTAAATCTGCCCTTAAGAGTTTATTTGGATACCAATAAAAGTGGTAAAGTTTAAGGACTTTCCAATAATTTTGGAGTTTGGAGCTGTAAAAATAATATTTTTACAAACTAAAATTAGACATTCCACTCAACGTTGCATATCATTCCACAATCTAAGAGAACGAGAGATGAAAAAGGCAACTATTCACTTATCTTCTCATAACAATTACAGACATCCAAAGAATATGCATATCAATTCATGCAGTGGCAACTCTATACAAATTAACCCCATCATCGGCGAGCTTCTTCCGACGTCGCATGGATTCTGCTTTCGGTAGCTTTGGAATTGGCAAGGACGTCATCGGGAGCGATTTCCCAACTACCACTTCTCCTTCCCCAACTTGAGTGTCTCGTTTCAGATCGAATTGTAGGTGCTCGATGATCAGATTCCAGAATAGAATCAACGTCCAAGGCTGTATGAGCAGGGCCATTGCTGCCTCTACTGTGGATGTCCTCATCAATTTCCTCAATATTACGTCGTTGGGAGATCTTCAATAGATCTTCACCGATATCTAGATCGTCTTCAACCTTGGAACGCGGATCTCCACCTAGATCTTCAGCTCCTTGAGTACTTGGTACAGTAGGCCTTGGCACCTCCTCTTGAACAAATGCCCGGAAATTGTTCTTTGAGGGTTTTATCGTCGTGCAAAATACTTCAAGAAAATTACTCGGACATCCAAGATTATAAACATTGATTCTGTTGTCAGCCCTAAATCGGAAATTTTCATAGGTAGTCTGGAAAACATGAAGGTACATATCATTTAATACCTAATTCCTGAAACACTCAACGAATTAAACAAAAATTAATCTCCGCTCCTTTACCGCATGAAATGCATATCTTGCCCTCTCCCCCCACCCATGTACACACTATATTTCCATTTTTTTTTTCTTTTCGAGAAGCTAGATTCAAGGCCTAAGACTTACTAATTTATTTCTCGGACGACTTTCCCACATTTATTTATGGAAATCTGACAAGATAGGAGGGCAGAAAAAACAATGTAAGAACTTAGGTTAATTTTTGTCATACTAGATTTGAACTCTAATGTGCCTTTCAAAAACAAAATCAAGCTCTGATTTGTACTAACAAAGATCAAACACAACTTAAATTATCCTAGAGAAAACAGGAGAAATTAGCAGACCTGGTTTGTTGTGATGAGGTACAAGTGAACCCGTTAGTCCACCGACAAACCACAGTGAAATTTTGAACTCTAATGTGCCTTTCAAAAACAAAATCAAGCTCTGATTTGTACTAACAAAGATCAAACACAACTTAAATTATCCTAGAGAAAACAGGAGAAATTAGCAGACCTGGTTTGTTGTGATGAGGTACAAGTGAAACCCGGTTAGTCCACCGACAAACCACAGTGAAATGAAACAGTATGCCATTAGAATGACAGATGTAGGAGATTCCTGCATTGCTTTCCAAACTGTTCCACGGTGATCATCCATCAGAACCTTCATGTACACTGCTGACATGGAGAATACATAGATGCAGAGAAGAGTTGCCGAAGAAACAAACATAAAGAAGTACCGGTAATTCCGCTGCACATATACACAACAGTCAGTCTCCTACCAAAAGACTGCTTCAGAGAATCAAGCAAGAAACATCCAGAGCAGTATCAATACACAGGCTTATCAGATAAACAACATACCAGTCCAATACATTGGCCTACCCAAGGACAATGGTGATCAAAACGCTCGACACAATTGTTGCAAATGGAACAGTGAGAGCAACGGGAGGACGATATAGCATGCATGTGTCACAGTACTTGACCCGTACAGGAATCCCATTAACCGTAACTTCCTTGGTTCGAGGGAATTGGAGGCTGGGTGTTTGCCTACCCCCGCCCTCAGCTGAAATGGAAGATTCATAGCGGAACTCCTCCTCTGGTGGATGTGAATTGCGTGGAATGATTCCTGGGTCCCGGGCAGATGTGAGGAAAAGAAGAATCAACACCTATCAAAATAAGTTGAGCTATTAAAGTTAATAACAACTTAGGCAACCCAAAAGAACCAATTACCAAAGCTAAGAAACCAGAAGTTATCCAAAACATACACACCTTTAAAAATGCATTTGTCATATAATTTAAGAAATTAGAAGGGGCTATCCTAATCTTATCTAGATCTGAGAAGGCCAGCCCTCTATAAGAACTCAATTTCCAGTACAAAGTCGACAACTGATCTAAATCAAATAAAAGGGTTCTTCTGTATATTCTACAAAAATATATTTTAAAATTTAGAAGATCAATTATCTTCTGAATTGGAACAAAAATGTTTGTTCACCCTAAATTGTGACTATTTTACCTTCAATAACTACCCATGAGAATTTCATTTATTGAAATTTTTGACAGAATGATAATTGCTAAGAAAACCCATCATTAAAAATTTGGTACTCGGAGTTCATAAAGTTCTTAGGAAAAAATATTTAACTGCTGGCATCCAGAGTGATAAACTCAACAGTAGTTGCTCTAAAACCTCAACAAAGAACCCATGCCAGAAGTAAGGTGAAGACTTACATAGATAGTAAAGACAATTGCTACCACCAGAATTGCATATCCTGAATTATACGGAGAAAATGCATGTCGTAGATGCCTTGCAACAAACACACAAAAGATAATAACAGGAACAGCGATCAGCAATATGGTAACAAGTAAAGACTTAGCATCTGGCCCAAATATCAGCCTCCCACCAAGGATAAACTTCTGCAAAATGCATATAGAAGAGGATATAAATGCTGAATGATAATTGCATAATCTGTCTAGACAAAAGAAAGCAAAGATAAAAATGAAGAAACCAGGATGCACCATCAGCCTATCACATTTCCATATTTCAACACTATCATTATACAAATTTTTCAAAAATTGCATCCCATTTATTCAGTTTTGGTCCCCATTAACCTAAATCCATGAATCCTAAAGCATCCTTCAAAGTTCTAACTTTCATTTATCTCCAACCTAAGTTTACGAATTATGTAGGGTACCATCTTGAAATATCCTAAATCCATGAATCCTAAAGCATCCTTCAAAGTTCTAACTTTCATTTATCTCCAACCTAAGTTTACGAATTATGTAGGGTACCATCTTGAAATATACTTTGCAAATTTATCCATGACCAGCACAAAGAATGAGGACTTAAAGCAGTTTCTTGTAGCTTCAATGTATAAGTTTAATAAATGCTTTAAACTTTTTCAATGTTATTTATTGATTTCAAATTTTATAAAATTTCAGAAAGGGAATAACATCAAGGGCAGAGAGATTATCAGACCAGCAAATTTACTTGACTAATATATGCTATTTTAAATCAACAGTTAAGCATTCAGATCAATACTTTGATTTTACAAACCAACACAAGTAGCAGAAGGGCTCCAGAAAGAACCAAAACGTGCAAGGCTATAATAAGAGAAACTCTTTAACTTTTTCTCCGTACCTAAAAGAACCAATCATGAACCCTGTTTGTACTTGCTATTCTAGTCATATATAACTGTCTTAGCTTTCTCTTATTCAGTACAAACTTCGACCAGTAGCTGTGAACAAGAGAAGGATTGTAGAGATACTGAAAGCCCCATGATAATGGTTGAAATCCTAATGCAAAAACAATTTACATAGCTTTTTCCAAAAGTTCAAAGCATAATTTCCTTTTGGGAATAATCTTCTCCTATTAAATAATATGCTAACTATATATGCCTTTTTTTATTTAATCATTCATCTTACAGGTTTTGTAGATACCATAATATGATTAGATGAAACTCAAGAAATGTGAAGAAAAGAAACCTAGCATTCAAAGGACGATTCTGAAAGGTAGCAAACAGGGCCTTCCAAACAACTAATAGTAAAATATAGTAATGGTAGTCTCACAAGGAATTCCAAAGTTCATAGCAAGTTAAACAGCATCATTACAAGCTTGAATTTGTTTAGAGCAAAAAAGAATATATATATATATATATATATACTCATTTAATGACTCAAAAGGATTTCAACCTCACATAATATTCTTTTCTTGCCACTAACCCAGGCCCTTGATCATCTACTGATTAAATCTCTTAAATATTCTTGAATTTAACCTATCCTCAATCCTTAGGGATACTACATAAAATAGTTAGCCCTACATCAAGTTTCTGAGAGTTGAGAGATACATATGCCACTCAATAACATTGAACCCAATCTCAATATATTCTCACCACATCCTTTAGATCATCACAACCTAGCATGACCAGAAAAGTGTTGACACTGCATTGCTTATGCCCCAGCCTTGTAAAATCCCCTGAATTTTCCAAATAATGTTACTTTCTTCAACTCGATAATTATTACTCATTGTAACACCCTCGATCCCACCATCAGAAAGGAAAATACTGTTGAATTTGACATCCAAATAAGTAGTGGATGCCACAAAATACATATCAGCCAATTTTTCATCATCATGTTCCTTGAAAAAAATTATTCTTCTGTTGTTTGGAGGGTAGGAGTGTCAGATACTGAAATATGACCTGTAACTTACAACAAAAGTGATCATTCATCTCAAAAAAATAATCACAAACTGAGACCACATTTGCTCAACCTTCTATCTTCAGGCAATACCAATACTTCTCAACTGATTCATGCACAGAAGCATCCCTTTTGATCCAAAGGTCACCGCACTGGTAAGTAACAAGTATATCCACATACTCACCGAACTCAGAAAAGCTATCATGTTTTCACATTGGGAAAAGAAACTAGAGCTGAAGATAATATGTCCCATTCAGTCGTCCACATTTACAAGAACTTGTAATGTTACAATTATACTTATTTGAACATTGACATTTCCCCAAAACATTGGAAGAAAAGAACTGTAAAACTCTTAACAACACCCGTCCTAGTAGTGCTACAGTTCTCATGACCGGTTGAAAACACACAGCACCCTTCAATGCAAAAATAAACTAAAATCAACCATGTATCGAGCATGGACTCGGTCTACTTTCCCCAAAGTAAATTGGAATAAAACCATACCAATTAAACCTAAAAATTGTGAGGCCATATTCCATAACTCAACTCAACAATCCATAACTGACAGTTATTCAAATTTCAAAGCCAACGATTGTACTCCATTAACATTAACCAAGTTCTTTGACAAACCTCATAATGCAGAAATAAATAAACAAAGAGTCAAAACACCCAAAAGAAAGAGTCTACTATTTTGTTCCATGTTTTCCCCTATTTTGTCATTAGCATAACTCATAGCAAGACAAATTCACTAGATAGAGTACAAACTAGTAAGAATTCCAACTGAAAAAAAACCCTAAAACCTAAAAACCCAACTAATAACTTAACCAATAAAAAAAACCCAATTCATTTTCCTACAAACCAAACAAATTTAACAAACACCCAGATTCCGAAACAGTGCATTTCGACAGAAATCAACAAATAAAAAAACAGTGACATCCTTACATTACTTCCTTTCCAAACTTCGTACACGCGCTTTTCCATGGCCTCCTCTTCCTCCCTTACTGTAAGCTTTATTGAACTACTGCTGGAACTCAGTTGAAGATGTGGAACTTGTACGGGAGTTCTAGCATCATTTAAAATGAAAATTTATAGGAAAAAAAGAAAAGAGTAAGAAAATCGCAGCACCTCTCTTGGCGAAAACTTCCCAGAGCAATCTGAAAATCGTACTCACTCGGGTGATGATTGAGTCGTAAAACGCCCGAGTTAATCCTTTTTTAAAATTTATTTTAGGTATCTAATAAGAAGAAGAATATATGAGTTATTATATATTTTAAAAAATATTATCTTAAATAATATGTTTTGATTTTTTATTATGATCGTTACTACTATTAGGGTAAAATAGGAAAATAGTCCTTCAAGTATAAGAGTCATTTTTAAGCACCATAATTATGAACACTTATAGATTGGTCACCGTATTTTTAAAAAGTAACAAATTAGTCGTATAATAAAATTGACATAATAATAAATGTAACCCTTAATTTTTATATTTCACTTTAATTTAATTATAATTTAACGCTCAATATTTTTATGTCACCATACTATTTCTTTCGCTCACCATCTTCCGCCGCTATCTTTGTGCATCTTCTCTCCTTCCATTAATAAAACACTATATAATATTCCTTAAATTCTTCCTCTCATCATCGTCATCAGATTATTTTTCGTGATTTCATCAATCGATGGGAGTCAAAGGTATTCCCATAGACCTTATTAGGGGTGAGCTTTCAATCGAGTCGAGTCGAATAAAAAAAATTGAGTTATTCGAGTTGATGAGTCTTATTTTGTAACTCGAAGTTTAATTGAATTTTTTTCGACTAGAGATTAGAGTCGAATTTTCGAGTTTCTGTTTAAATTTAATTTATTTATAATATTATGGTATTATTTGATTCTAATTTAAATTTCTTTTTATAATCATATGCAATACATATATATTTCTTCATATTTTTTTCATATGTGATATATATATATCATATAAAGTCTAGAGGCTTGACTCAAACTTAAAAATAAATACACTAATTACTAAAAAATTTGAGTTATTTGAGTTGTATTTTGCAATTCGATTTGAACTTGAAATTTTTTCGAGTCGAGTCGAGTTTATGAAATTACAACTTGAAGTCAATTTGATCCTTTTTTCGAGTTGAGTCGAGTTGAAAAAAATAATTTTTTTAGTAGAGTCGAGTTTTGCTCACCCTTAAATCTAATCACTTGAGGTTGGACGTAGAATTTTATATTAAGAGTGAACTTATAAAATTTTAAGATGAACAAAATTATAAAATTGTATGAGACGAAAATTAATTATCAATTAAAAATATAAAAAATATCTAAAATAAATGAGAATGTGAAATTTTTTATTTTCAAGTAAAGCGACTGCCCCATCCAACCATTCGATACATTCCACATATATCATCGTTACATTGACGGCTAAAACCTCATTTTTCGTAGTCAAAAGATTCAATTAAAAAGTATTTTATAGTCTAAAGACTATTTATGTATTTTACTCTTATTATTAGTAGTAGTATTTTTCTAATATTTTAATGAATAAATTAATAAATGACCACTGCATTATGAATAAATGACTTTGTTAGTTGATAAAGTTTTAAAATTATAAAATAATCATTAAATTTATCGAATTGTTACAAAATATCATTGTATGTTCTTAAATAATGATAAATTTTATTTAAGTAAATTTAATGGTTATTTTATAATAGTTTGATAAATTTAATAACTATTTTATAATTATTTTAAAAGTTTAATGTCATTTATTAATTTTTTAAATTTTAATATTAATAAAATTATATTAACATAATTTAATGATTTTATTTATTTATTTTAACCTATTTTAGTTTAGAAAATAAAATTTATTATGTAAAAAAATGTGTTTGTTTTGGCCTTTTGGGTGGTCTCGTGTCATTCTTTCCATCATCATTTTCTATACCTAAAATATGAATTTTCATGTAGGTATCGCAGTACAGTACGGTGGGGCAATAGTTTTTTTTTTCGAAAATATTATATATTTTAAAGTTTTTTTATATATTTTATATTAAAAATATATTTTAGTTTTTCTGAAATTTTATAAATTTGTTATCTTTCAAAATTATAGAGATTTGCTTCTAAACATAAAATTTTAAGTCGGTCTCTGTATAATGCTATAATTAACATTTAATTCATTGTTGTTTCCACATGAGCACAACTTCGTGGGACCCAAAGACAAGTTTACCTGGAATTTTCTTTTTATTTGTTCATTTTCAAGGGATTGAAAGGGAACAGTCAACTACTGAATTACTGCGAGGTTCAACAACAAATATGTGGAGACGACATCCTAGGAATTTTAGATTAAAATTATGGGTAAAGTGCTTAAATGGTCCCCCAACTATAAGATATTACTTTATTAAGTCTTCTAACTATTAAAAATTATAAAATTATTATCCAACTATTCATTATATTCTAAACTCATCTTTTCCCGTTAAAAAATTAACAATCGTCTGAGATGGATAACATGCTGACTGAGATATGATAGTCGTTTAAGATTATGAGATTAGATGTTATCATATTTTTGTCAGTAGATTAATGTCCAGCTTTGATTGCCATCAATTTTTAACAGAAAATGACTAGTTTGGAACATATGAATACTCATGTGATTATTTTATAACTTTTAATAGTTGAAATACTCAACAAATCAATACCTTATAGTCGGAATATCATTTTGTAACTTTGAATAGTCGAATGACTCAACAAAACAATATCATATAGTTGGAAGATCATTTATGTATTTTACTCTAAAATTATAGAAGCTGAAATTGATTATAATAAATTTATTAATATAAGAGTCAAATGTTAACAATATTTTATTAAATAGTAATTTATTTAAAATTTTATTTTGAAAATATAAGAATTTGCGTATATTATTAACTACAAAATTAAATCTATGATAAATGTCTCGAATCAACTAATAATGTTAAAACGAATCATAAAAATAAGATAACTTTTATTCCCTTTAATTTTAAACAGTTCCATTTCATAAATCACTTTAAATAAATTAATTAAAAATTTTAAAATAAGAAAATTAAAATATTCTTTCTAACGACTTTGGTTTTGACTGTAAATCGACGTGAGAATGAAGGTGTGGATAGATATTTTAATATATCATTTAAATTTTAAAAAAATGAGTATCTATTTAACTAATAAAAATAAGGTGAAGTATGTATTTAGTCACCCATCTATTTCTACGATTTTGTTTTGGTCACCTAATTATTTTTTTCCAAAATCATATCTAATGTTTTGTTTCGGTCACTCGCCAATAAAAAATAAATATAACTACTGACATGATAGTTTTTTTATTTTTTTAATAATGGTATGATATTACCTTATGGTGATACATCAACATCACTATTAATTTCTTAACAGCGGATGACCAAAAAATAACTAAAACATAACGTTATGTATGATTTTTTTATAAAAACAATTGTTGAGTAACTAAAACGGAATCATGAGAATAGGTAAGTGATTAAATACGTAGTTTATCCTAAAAATAATTTAGGGTGAATTGTATTTTTTTAATAATACGGTGAATTGTAAGGTAAATGTATAGTGGTTCTTTTATCTAGTCCCTTTAGTTCGAAAACAAGATAAATTAATTTTTTTTACAATATTATAGAGGTTTTTTATTTTAAAAATAGATAAATTAGTTTTTAATCTATTTTTAGATGTAACTAATTTATAAAATTAAACAAATTGAGCTCTCTTAACTTTTAAATATTAAATTAATCGCTTTGTAATAGGGTATTTTGAATTGATTTCGGAAATTGAGGATTGAGTCGGAGTCATTCATAATTACACGACGGAAATGGATTAATGAGATTAAGGTTTATATGTCTCGATTAACTTGAATTCTTTCGAATGAACCACCAAGGTTTTGGAATAACGGGTTTACAGTAAAATTTTAAGTCCATAAACCTTTGGTGATTGTGTTGGGGTATTTTTCCTGTTCAATTAAAATCCAAATATTACAATTTCAATAATTAAACCATTACATAAATCATTCATTCCTAAACTGAAATTAACTTAATCAAATACTCAGTGCCCAGAAAAAATAATATAACCCAAATTAAACCAAAATGTCCAATGTACAATCTATTCTCAAATCTGTCTACTTGTTTAACCCATTACTAAGCCCAGAAACCCAAGCTCAACAACCCCATTGACCCAACAGGCCTGAGCCATTAAGATAACAACCCAATAGCCCGGTTAGATGTAGCTTAATAGGTCCAACATTTGGGTTAGGATTGGCTAACCCTAACCCTAATCATCTCTTCAGCGCCGCCAACACCAAGATGCCAGTAATCAATAAGCCACCGCCACCGTTATACCATTCCACCTCAGCCGCCAACATCATAGCCACATAAATCATGGATTTTCACATCGGCAGGCCTCCCATCAAAGCACTCCACGCATGCACAAGTCGCTCCAAGCAGTCTCTCCACATCAGTGTCCATTGAAGCCATCTGCCAACTCTAGTGGTCCTCCTTTACTGCATGCAAGAGGGTTGCTGCAAAACACTAAAGAGTCTGCCCTTCACTTTATGAAATAGGAAGTTGGCAGGAGGCTCCCCTTGTGCATTTGTATAAAACAAAGAGAAATAAAGGGATTAGGGGAGGGTTTTTTTTGGGTAGAATACAGTAAGAAAAAACATTGTAAATCGAGAGAGAGAGAGAAAAGAAAACATAGGGGAAGCAGGGTTTTTGTAGAGGAAATTGTCAAGCAATCAAATACCAAGGTACTCTCTTTCGTTTCAAATCATAGGTCTAGAAAAAAAAAGGAGAATTTTCTGGGTTTTAACCATCGTTTGGAGGTGAACCGAAGCTGGAGAGGTGTCTTTAACCCTCATTCTTGAGGCTCTGGTCGTCGGGTAAGAACGTCGTTGAGATTCACCGTCGAGGAACGGTGAAAGCGAGCTTTGAGGTGCTGCTTTGGGGTCATTTGAAACCTTAACCCATAAGGTCTCCAGAGAGAAACATTTTCTCTAGGTGAGCGGCGGCGAGAAGAAGCTAAAATGATTTAGGTTTCTCTTTAAGCCATGATAATGGGAACTTCTAACGAGCGGCGCCTAAAAAATAGTTAAAAAACGGTGTGACCGGTTAAAATTTAGATTGGTTATGTTATATCATTTAACCGAAAATATTATCAAGTATAATAACATATTAG